TATATATAGTTTGCAGTTGTCCAGAACTGATTAAGTCGGGAATGGAAACATTAGGGCAAGTTTCTGTACCTCTATAATGAAAATTTTACTATGCTTATGTCATAACATTTTCTTATGTTGACTCACCACATTTGAAACCGAATACCTCTGTGTAGGAATTGTGTAATTAGCATTTGGAATTATGGTTGCAATTAGAATAAAATTAAAGTAATTTTATTAGGTAACTTTTAAGAAGGAATTTACTTTCCTGGAGAGATGGGAATCTTATGGCTGCTAAGAGCAGGAGTCCCATTTCTGCCTTTCAATTGGTTGTTGAATTAAGAGCATTTTCAAAATAGTGAATGCCTAATATTCATTAGTTCCCCCCCCCCCTTTCAAATATGTTAAGGTCTTATGTGACTAAATTTTAAACGTAACTTTTTATGTTAGAGCTTGAATAGGTTTGGTTATTTATAAATTTCTCATATATAGTTCATTAAATTTTTTTTAAGCTAGGAGACTCATGAGCACATTGTGCAACATAGCAAGATAAAAGATTGAACATTCAATAGATACTTTAAATATCTACATATTTTATTTTTAACAGTGGTGTGACAAATGATGGAATCAAATAAAATAATTTAGTAACACTTTGAATGAATTTCATAATCTCTTTTCAATTCAGCCTCCTGTCCCATCATTTGGGGTTCATGCCAACAACCTATCATAACTACATAGTTGATTATCATAGACTACATCATTTCTGCAGTTTTAAAAGCACAGGTAGTAGGTAGTCAGTAAATTAATTTATGCTGCTTAGTAAAATATGGCCTCAGCATATAAATTGCCAATTGTCTTTTTAAATGATGTTTTCTTTAACTCATGGAGGTTAAGGCCATTGATGGACAACGATCTTTTGGATAACCTTTTCAGTTATGTAGCCAGCCAAGATAGACTGTCCTCTTTGGCAGAAGGAGGGCATCTTGATTCTTTTTGAAACTGTTATAATGGGCCCTTGTGCAGCAAATCATCTTTTGGGTATCTATTTATGATTTGCACAAACTTTTGAAAATTGATTTTAGAGAGGTAGACAAAGGGAGAGAGAAAGAGGGAGAGGGAGAGGGAGGGAGGGAGAAAGAGAGAGTGAGAAACATTGATTTGTTGTTCCACTTATTTATGCATTCTTGGTTGATTCTTATATGTGCCCTGACTGAGGATTGGACCTGCAAACTTGGTATATTTGGAGGATGATTTGACCAACTGAGATACCTAGCTAGGGCCTAGAATTTGCATAAAGTTGGAAACTGGCAGATGTGTATATAGTTTGGGACACTCAGCTCCTGAACAGGAGGACCTTTTTCCATTTCAGGGAAGAACAAAGCATAACATTTGTTTGTTCAAGCAGATATATTCGCTTAGCTTTGACTTACTCTTCTCTACCTTGTCACATTAGGTTTTTTCAGCAGTTCTTTGTTGGAAAAGCACTCAGTTAAGGCTGTGTCTGGTCTATTGCAACTGTGTTCCCTTGGCATTCAGGAAATGTGTAGCCTGCTACAGATAAAATCAGATCATTTCTAGATTGAGTAAAATTGCTAGAAAATTTTTGATTTCAAAATTATCATTTGATTTGTATATAGTTACCTGTTCAGGGAGTTGGGTATGTTTTTTCTATAACCCTTTCCCTTGTGCTTAGCCAGAGAGGTATCACATTTATGCAAGTTTCAAGGCCACAGGGACTGTGGTTTCTCTAGGTGGGACTGCTGGAACCAGCATCATGCTGCGCTTATGCTTGCTGGCTGCTGGGCAGTGCAGGACAATTCCAGGGTAGTACAAGAAGCCAGGCACCTACACAGCTGTTGCCACATGTATTTATGGGCACATCTCATTTTCTGCTCACTTCCTGGCCTTTTCTAATGGCATCTTTAACCATACCTAAGAAGGACAGGTCATGTGGTCATGCAGTCAGCATATCACTTCTTAAACATTGAATGCCATTCCAAAAGATCATCTTGGTCTTGGGGAGTACTGTAATAGCATCCAGCAAGTGTCTTTCTCAGGCTTGGGCCAGGTAAAGTGTGTGTTTAGAGGTATTTTAACTACATGAAATCATGACGTTGCTGACCTCTTATTAAAAACTAACAGTCATAATCTACCCATTACTCATGTAGGGACTTGTTTTTTCACTTTGTGAATAAATTGTCATGGCCAGTGTTTTTATGGAATGTTGTAAGCCCCATATTTTCTTCTCGGCTGATGATGATTGAAGTCTTGGTGAGGGGTGTGCCCAGGGAGATTTCTAATCAGAAATGTTAGTGTGTTCTTGGGGATAGGTACAGAAGATGTGTGCATACTGCCTCCCCCCCCACCCCCACCCAAATCCTCTTTACTACTTTTAGTGGTGTGTAGCTTCTTTATTCAGAGGATGAAGCTAGAAAGGAGAGCAAGTTGGGACATAGGTTAGGGGTACTGTATCCTCTCCCTTACTTAGTAATGCTTCCTCTTTCTAATACAGTTCAAATCATGAAAAGGGGTTAGGATGCATCCTCAAGCTGGAGATATAGGTGAGGTTGGGTGGGAATGGATGTTGGGTTGGGGCCTGAGTGAGAAGCAGTAAATGAGCTGTGGGGTGAAGGAAGGGGTTGAGGTTCATGCCTAGGGCAGGGAAATGTATGATGTCCTTGAGAACAGGATTAGAACTGGGTAGAGAATTGGAATCAGGGTTTGGGTGGTAAAATGGAGGGCTGCTTTGTG